AAACTGCTGGCCTTGAGTGATCTGCCTGCCTCGGCTTCCAATAGTGCTAGGATTACAGGCATGAGCCACCACACCCAGCCTTTCACTGTTTTTATTTATTTTTTTTTTCCTTTTTTTTTATTTCGGCATATTATGGGGGTACAGATTTTAAGGTTTCGATAAATGCCCATTCCCCCCCACCCCCTACAAGTCTGAGTCTCCAGAATGACCATCCCCCAGATGGTACACATCTCACTCATTATATATGTATATACCCGCCCCCTCCCCCCTGCCCAATACCCTATTACTGTAGTACCTATGTGACCACTTAGGTGCTGTTCAGTTAATACCAATTTGCTGGTGAGTATATGTGGTGCTTGTTTTTCCATTCTTGGGAAACTTCACTTAATAGTATGGGTTCCAGCTCTAACCAGGAAAATATAAGATGTGCTATAACACTGCTGTTTCTTAGAGCTGAATAGTACGTTTCCATGGATACATATACCACATTTTATAATCCATTCTTGGATTGATGGGCACTTGGGCTGTTTCCACAGCCTTGCAATTATGAATTGTGCTGCTATAAACATTCGAGTGCAGTGTCTTTTTGTAGAGTGTCTTTGATCTTTTGGGTAGATGCCCAGCAATGGGATTGCTGGATCAATGGTAGATTCACTTGTATCGCTTTAAGGTATCTCCATATTCTTTCCACAGAGTTGAACTGATTTGCAGTCCCACCAGCAGGTGTAGGAGTATAGAATTTTTTTATTCCATCTTGATTTCTTCATTTATGAAGTAATCATTATAGGAGGTTGTTTAATTTCCACGTTTTTGTGTAGAATGTGAGTTTCTTGTTAGGGTTGAGTTCTACTTTTATTCCACTGTGATCTGAGAAGATACATGGTATGATTTCTATTTTTTGAAATTTCTTGAGATTTACTTTGTGTCGTAGGATATGGTCAGTCTTAGAGAATGTCCCGTGAGCTGATGAGAAGAACGTATATTCAGTGGATTTTGAGTAGAATGTCCTGTAGATGTCAGTCAGACCCAGTTGTTCCAAGGTTTTGTTTAAGTCCATTATTTCTATTATTAATTCTGTTTGGAGGATCTGTCCTGTGCCATCAGTGGGTGTTGAAATCTCCGGCGATTATGGAGTTGCTATTAATCCATTGCTTAGATCCAGTAAGGTTTGCTTATGAAATGGGTGCACCTAAGTTGGGTGCATATTATTAAAAGTTATCTCTTCTTGTTGAAGTGTGCCTTCACATCTATATAATGAGCCCTCTTTGTCTTTCACTACTTTGTTGGTTTAAAAACTAAAATCATCGAATTAGAACTGCCACGCCAGCCTTCTTTTGGCTTCCACTTGCCCTGGAATACTGATATCCACCCTTTACTTTTAGTCTATATGCATCCTGGCAGGTTAGATGTGTTTCTGAAGACAGCATATACTTGGCCTATTATTTCTTATACATTCAGCCAGCCTATGTCTCTGAGTGGAGAGTTTAAGCCATTCACATTTATTGAGAGAACTGATAGTAAGGTAGATTATTGTTCCATTCTGTTGGTTGGATGTTGTTGCTTTGATCTCTCTTGAGCCATTGTATTATCTGGCTTTAATTTTTGTTTGGTTGTTTTTATACTGGTGAGTTTTTATTATGGTGTTCGTGCGTAACACTGTTTGAGTACTTCTTGTAGGGCGTGGTCTTGTCTTGGTGAATCTCTGAGACTTTGCATGTCTGAGGAATGTCTGTTATTTCTCCATTCATATATGAAGCTTAGTTTTGCAGGGAATAAGATCTAGGGTGGGCATTGTTTTGTTTCAGAAGAGTGAGAATGGGGCCCCAGTCTCTCCTTGCTGTTAAAGTCTCATTAGAGAAGTCTCTGATGTTATTCGAATTGGCTTTCCCTTGTATGTCACTTGCTCTTTTTTGTCCTACAGCTCTAGAAGGCCTCTTTAGTTGATTTTTGGCAGTCTGATATCTGCCATGTCGTGAGTCTTCCTGTTTGCATTGAATCTCCCAGGGTCCTCTGAGCTTCTTGAACTTGTATATCGAGATTTTTGAGCAGCCTGGGAAATTTTCCTCTATTATATCTTCAAATAGCTTGTCCACCTTTGGGTGTTGTCCTCTTCCCCTTCTGGTAACCCTAAGACCCTCACATTATGTTTCTTCACATAATCCCACATCTCTTGTAGGCTTTGCTCTTTTCTCTTGATCTCTGCTCTATCTCTGTGATGGTTTTATTTAGTTGGAGGGTGTTATCTTCAATCTCTGAGATTCTTTCTTCTGTTTGATCTACCCTGTTCTTGAGGGTTTCCACTGTATTTTGTAGTTCCCTGAATTGATTCTTCATTTCCAGGAGTTCGGTTAAACTTTTCTTCATTGTGTCTATCTTCAGTTGAACTTTGTTCTAATTGGTCTGGAGTCTTTTGGTGTCTGTCTTTGTGTTGGTTATTTGAGTTGTTGTGCAGTTCGGTGAATGTTCTTTGATCCACATACGAAATTCCTCTTCTCTCATTTTTGTTGCCTGATTTGGGTTGGTGTCCATTCTAGTGGTGCTTGTCCTCTTTTGAGGGTGTGTTTTCCATTTGGTTCTTCATGTTTCCCTTGAGTTCTTTCGCTGATTTCTGTCCCTGTCGATCAGTGCTTGTTTCTTTCCTTTGTTCTGTTTGGGTATTCACACATCTGTTAGTTTTCTGAGCTCGTTAGGTGGTGTCTGGGTGAGATTCGGAATCCCGACTCCGTTCTATGAGTCACGTGGGTGTCGGTGAAAAGGTGTGCAGTGATGCGCGTGCCCTGCTCAGTAGGTGGGCGTTTTGCTTGGAGAACAGCTAGCTGTTGTTTTTGTGTTCCTTATCAGCTCTTGTTCTGGGCAGAGCTGGGTAGGGTAAGCCTGCCCTCAGGCACCACCAATGCCATTTGCAGGGGTCAAAGTTCTGTTCTCTGCTTCCAAGAAAAGCTGTCAGGGTGGGGCTGGAATGGTCCCCCTCAGCCAGAAAGTCTGCTTGTGGGGGTGGGGCTGTCTGAGACCCGCAGTCTGGCGCTCGCTTCTTTCCACCCTCCCCAACTCCGCAGCTACTCCTGGCCTCTGCAGTAGCCAGACCACATGCCACCAGGCCTCCCCGGATTGTGATGCCACCAGGGAGGTTCCCTGAGCAGGAACGCCATCTGGGCTGGGCGCAAGGCCTCCCTTTGGGGGGAGGGTTGCCCTCTAGGACGCCGATCTGCCCCTGGAGGCACACACACCTCAGCAGGCTGTTCACAAATATCCCTTCTGTGCCCCAGGCAATGCTAGACCTCGGTGCACAGGATCTGGTCTGCAGGTCTGACCTCTGGGTCCCAGAGTTCAAACTGTATCCCCACCAGGGATAGGAGTTCTGGTCCCAATTCACCCACAGGGAGCCCAAGCTGTATCTGTGTCTCTCAGCCTCTGAGTCGGCACCGTTCTCCTGGGAACAGCGTGCCAGCAGCACCTGGGAGGGCGGGCGGGTAGGGAGCTCACAATCTGAGTTCCCCTTAGTCAGCTGTAGGGTCCCAAAAGGGAAGGTCCCGTTCCCTGGAGGTGCCTCTGGCTGGTGGCTGTATTGTCTCTCTGGGCAGCTGCGGGTATGGTCGGCAGAGGGGAGGAGTAAGTAATATGGTGCCTGCCACGCGGCTCGAGTCTGTGCACACGGTGGTGCCCCGAGGGATTTGGGAGTCTGGTGCTGCGTCCGCTACAGGCTCACCGCTAGCTGGCGGCAGCCGTCTCTGGGCTGGTATCCGCAGGTCTCTCCACCCGCTGGGGAGCCCACCAGCAGTCCCAATTGCAAGGGAGGGGAAAGGTGATTTATCCACCTACCCTTCCCACTGGTCTCCAGGCTGCTCCGGTGGTCTCAGCTTCCAGTTCTCCTCCGTGGCCTCCTCCTGTGGAGTCTCCTGGGGTCTCAGGTACCCCTCCTTCCGGCCCTCGTCTGCTGTATGCTCGCTTTCTTGCTTCTTTTTTCTAATTTCTGCTAGAATCTGTCTTTTCTGCAGAGACACTCTTTCTGGCGGTGTTTCTCGTCCACCATCTTGATCCTCCTCTCACTATGTTTTTAAATGAGAATTCTGGCATATGGTAGGCACTCAGTATATGCTTGCTGCTAGGATCATCATTATCATTTCCAGATCATTTCATGGCTAGAATCTGCTGGCAATGGTGATAGTCTTCATTGGAAGTCTGCAAAACTCCACTAAGCATTACCTAAAACAACAGAGATGATTGTGTGGTTTTTCTTCCTCTGTTAATATGGTGAATTACAGCAATTGATTTTTTTTTTTATAACATCAACTTTCAAAAGTTAAGCCAGCCTTCTATTCCTGAGGTAAGCCCCATTTGGTCTTGTTGTATTACTCTTTTTATGTATTGCTGGGTTCAACTTGCTCATATACATTGGTAATGATTAGAGGATGTATGTTCATGGAGTTGTGTTTATGGGAAAGTCTTAGTTAGCAGTTTCTTTAGTAGATGCAGAGCTATTCAAATTTTCTATTTCTTCTTGAATCATTTTAGGTATATAATATGCCTGGGTTCCACCATCCACCCAGCTCTGTGGCCTGGAATGTGCCCGCAGGTGGGAGTTGGAACAATAGTAGGGCTCCCCTCAGTTGTGTCTCTTCTCTCAGGGTCACAGTCCTGTGCTGTTTGTTGTCAGTATCTGAAAACAGTCATTTTATATGTTTTGTCCAGCTTGCCTGTTGTTTCTGTCCGAAGGCTGAGTCTGGGCTCTCTTCTCCTACCATGGTAAGGAGTGGAAGCTGCACGAGTTACTTTGGATATTGAAGAGTACAACAAACTCTGTTGCCTCTGATGGTTTCTCAGCCAGATCTGTCTACAAGCTTGGTCTTGAAACTATAGATAGTTAAGTTTTACATCGGCTCAGTCTTTTTTTCAGTCTTTGTGTTCTAATTTGCAGTTTAGCTGTCTTTCACAAAAAGTAGTATTACTTTGTTTTAGAAATTGGACTTTAAGACTAAATCTTATTTTTCTCTCCATTTAAGTTTCCTTCAGCGTTTGAGTTTAACGAACTATTTTTGATTACAATTTTGGATCACCTTTATAGCTGTCTCTTTGGGACCTTTTTGTGCAACTGTGAACAACAGCGATTCAAAGAGGTAAGTGTGTGGGGTTCTCGTCTGTTGCTTGCCCTGTTCTCAGCCCTCTCTTCCAGGAAGTGCCACTGCAACAGAAGGACTGAGTGGAGGCAGGACATGGGCTCCAGCCCTGCTGAGTGTAAGGCAGGTTGCACTAGATATCCTTCCTGGGCTCTGGCAGCCCCACCACATATGTCTAAGACAAGCCCCTTACTTCATAGATGTGGGGAGCTAGGACCCAGAGAGCCCAGGGCTCTCTAAAATGTAGGGTCAGTGCTAGACCCTGGAACTCCTGCCTCTGAGTTCATGTACTTTCCATTGCACTGACTCCAAAATAGTATAAATCTGCTTTTCATTCTCTGTGGTGTTGGGCAGAATCATACTTGAAAAACTTAAAAAATCAAGTCTAGCCAAAAACCTCACTTTAGGTAGCAAGTTAAACTCTCTTGTCCGTGGAGCTGTTTTTTTTTTTTTTTCCCAGCATATTATAGGGGTACAAATATTGAGGTTACGTATAATTCCCTTGCCCCCCCCGCCCCCCGAGGGAGCTGGTTTAAAAAAAATATATCTGCCAAGCTTCTCAGAGTTACATGTCACCTCTTCTTCCTTTTATCCTCAGGGATAAAAGAAAGAAATGGTCAAAAATGAGAAGACATTGGTAAAAGGCAGCTTAGAGAATATCGTCCCACTAATTCAAAGGGACTACTGCCTATGAATGAACTAAGTGTGTTAGAACATTCCAAAATTCAGGGGAAAACAGTCTGTCAGCAACGCCCACCTCCCTCCCTCGCAGCAGCCTCCCCACAGTTGACCCCTCCCTTATCCCTGCCCTACCTCACTCACTGGCCTCCCCTGCTCAGTCTATGGCTGGCTACCATTTTAACCAGTCTCTAAATTTGTAGTCACTTGGGCCCAGTCCTGGGTGGTCTTCTCACCCTGAACCCTGCTCTCTCTCTGTAGGTGACTTTGTCTAACCCAGGCATCCTCAAACTACGGCCCGCGGGCCACATTCAGGTGTTTTTGCCCATTTGTTTCTTTACTTCAAAATAAGATATGTGCAGTGTGCATAGGAATTTGTTTATAGTTTTTTTTAAACTATAGTCTGGCCCTCCAACGGTCTGAAGGACAGTGAACTGGCCCTCTGTTTAAAAAGTTTGAGGACCCCTGGACTCTAGCCTCAAGGATCTAAATGACACTTTCCCGCTTCTCTCCTGGTCTTTTGCTTCTCAGTAAATGACACCACTGGCCATCTAGATGTTGAGGCCAGATACACAGGAATCATCTTCAATCCCTCCTTTACCCTCCCTCCAGCTGTCCATCAGCGAACACTGCTGGTCCTGTCCCCCCAAATATATTCTTAATCTGTCCACTTCTTAACTGCTTTACAGATAGCTACAAGCCTAGCTCAAGCCTCTATTGTCTCGCATCTGGATTCAGGCAGCAGCCCGGGGACAGGCTTCAGTAGTCTATTCTAGACAGAGCAACCAGAGCAAGCATTTATTAACTTAAATCTGATCACGTGCCTTGCCCCTGCTTCCCACTGCAGTTAGGATCATATCCACACTCCTGTAGGTGCAGTGTGATGGGGCCCTGTTAACTTCTTAATAAAAATAAAAACTTGTTTAAAAGAGTGAATTTTATGGTATGTGAATTATATCGCAATAAAACTGTTTAAAACAAAACCAGCAACACAAGAATGAAGTCTATATATAGAATTTAAACTATGGTTTTATCTTGAGATTTTTTTTTTTTTGAGAGGGTCACAAAATTTACTGTCTTTAAAAAGAAACAATCACCTCTCTTGTGATATGATTTACATAGCATAATATTCACCCATTTAAAGTGTACAATTTAGTGCTTTTAGTATATTTACACATTGTGTAACCATCACTAACTTCTAATTTCATAAAATTATCACCCCCAAAAGAAATGACTACTCATTAGCAGTCACTTCCCATTCCCTCTACCCCCAGCCCCTGGCAACCACCAATCTATTTTCTGTCTCAATGGATTTGCCTATTCTGGACATTTCATAGGAATGGAATCACACAATAGTAGGCTTACCACTGTCTTACTTCATTGAGCATGTTTTCAGAGGTCATCCATGTACCAGTAATTCCTTCTATTTTATGGCTGAACAATATTCCATTTTATTTATGAGCAGACCATATTTTGTTTATCCATTCATCACTTGATAGAAATTTGGGTTGTTTCTACTTTTTAGCTTTTATAAATAATGCTGCTTTCCATATCCACTTGTGTATAAGCTTTTGTGTAGACATGTGCTTTCATTTCTCTTGGGGGCATTTACCTAGGGATGGAATTGCTGGGTCATATGGTAACTCTGTTTAACATTTTGAGGAACTGCCAAACTGTGTCCAGAGTAGTTGCACCATTTTACATTCCCATTAGCAATGTCTGAGGCTTCCAATTTCACTAATACTTATTTTCCTTTTTTAAAAAAATTATAGCCATCCTAGTGGGTGGGAGGTGGTATGTTGTAGTTTTGATTTGCATTTCCCTAATGATTAATGATGTCAGGCATCTTTTCATGGGCTTATTGCCCATTTGTGTATCTTTTGTGGAGAAATGTCTATTCAGATCCTTTGTCCATTTTGAAATTGGGTTATCTTTTATTGTAAGAGTTCCTTATATATTCTTTATATATACAAGTCCCTTATATATGATTTGCAAAAATTTTCTCCCATTCTATGGATTTTTTTACTTTTTGGATGGTATCCTTTTTTAAAGCACAAAAGTTTTAAACTTTGATAAAGTCCAATTTATCTATTTTCTCTTGCTTGTGCTTTAGGTATCATATCTAAGAAACCATAACCTAAGGTTATGAAGATTTCCTCCTATGTTTCCTCCTAATAGTTTTACATTTTTTTTTTGCCATTACCAATTTTATTAAAATCATTGTACTTTTTTTTAAAAAAAAACAGGGCATTAGTTATTTTATTTTCCAAAAGAAATTCAAACTTAATTGGCCTAGTTTTAGGGTTGGAATTTTCAATAGCCAAAGCAAAATGTCTTAGTGTAGATTTTCTGTCAAAAGTATTTGATAGCATCAAGTTATGGAAAAGTGATAGACTATAGAAAACTGAACTAAAGCGTTTTTACATTTAGGTCTGTGACTCATTTTAAGTTCATGTTTTTATATAGTGTGAATTAAGGATCCAACTTCATTCTTTTGTGTGTTGGCCATCTAGTTGTCTCAGCATCATTTGTTGGAAATAATATCTTTCACCCATTGAATTTTCTTGCCTCCTTTGTTGAAACTCAGTTGACCATAATGTGAGAGAGTTCATTTCTGTACTCTCTATTGTATCCATCTATGTGTCTATCCTTATGCCAGCAACACCAGTATTGATTACCATAGCTTTGTGGTAAGTTTTGAAAATAGGAAGTGTAAGTCCCCCTACTTTGTTGTTTTTAAAGATTATTTTGGTTATTCTGGATTCCTTGAATTATTGCTGCTATTTCTCTGGTACAATATATAAAAAATGAAATGGTCCTAATTGAATGTTCCTACATTTAGCTACCTTGTGGGAAGTGAGCAGCAGGACAGTAGAAAATTTTCTTGGTCTCACCATTTTCTCATTTGACTTTGCCATTGTGTTTGATCTATTGTTTAATGTTTACCCGCCCCACCATTCCTGCAAATGTGGGTGTTTTCACTCAAATGAGCAATCCAGGTAGTTACAGAGTATAATTTAATGACATACTTCTCTATATAGAACTGCTCCAGCCTTCCACCATGGCACATTTTTCTCCAGATAGTGATGATTTTTCAGTGTGAGGAATCTTAACTGTAAATTTTACCCATGTTCCTCAATATTAAAAGTCACAAAAGCAAACTTTATACCAGAATAAAATATTATTGATGGGCACTATCATCCTGTGGTTAGAAAGTTCTCATTCTGCCTTCCCATAGACACTGTTGCCAGATGCTACCTAAATTCAGCAATACCTTTTTCCAGGAGACCAAGCAGTGTGTGTTTCCTTCCATGTTGTCCTGGCATGAGACCATGACTGGTAGGGAGATGGGGGTAGGGCTTAGCAAATGTTGAATTTTTCAGCATTGGAATTCACTTCATTAGTCTAGTCCTTTTCTCCACGTTATACTAATTCTTGAGGATATGAAGAAAAGTTTATTTCATTATTTTTTTTTTGTTTTTCAGGATGTATGTACAAAGACTATTTCTCTATGGTCATATATCAATAGCCAGCTAGATGAATTCTCCAATCCCTTCTTTGTGAATTATGAAAACCATGTGTTATATCCTGTTGCTAGTCTGAGTCATTTGGAATTGTGGGTAAACTATTACGTACGATGGAATCCACGGATGAGACCTCAGGTATCTTTTTTTCTTTTTAAGAGCATGTCCGTCTTTCCACTGTCCACATGTGACTTCACTTAACACTCACAACAATCACACGATGCAGAGAGTGAAGGGAAGGTTCAAGGAAGCCATAAATTGCCCAAGCTCTTGCTGCCCGGTGTGTGCAGTCATGGAAGGATGGACCCAAGCAGGGCCAAATCCCCTCTGGCAGTGAGTCACCACCTGATCTGGGGCAAGGTCCTAATCACCACTGAGACCTCACATGCTCGCCGAACATGAAATGAATCCATACCAAGTGCATGGCACAGTGGTAGGTGGGTGGCCTAGTGTTTTGCCTTCTCCCTATACTGTGCTACATAGGAGGGAGAATTGAGAAATTCATGGGCCACAGCTTTTTGTCCTCAACACAAGCAGCATGTACATACCCCAGGTGCTAGGCACACGGCATGCTGGGGAGCAGACTGGGCGTTGGTGGTGGTGGCTACAGGGGCAGGTATAGTTTGGACTTTATCCCAAGGATTGTGGGAGCCATCCAGTATCTACATGACAGGGCCAGGTATAAGAACCAAAGCCTGTACCCGCCTTCCAGCAGCTTCCTCCTCACTCTGGCAGCACTGTGGTGGGTGGGAATGGGAAGTACAGTGCAGACTGGCAGAGATCAGCATGCAGACTGGTGTGGCTGGACAGTGACAGGGAGCTAGGTAGGGTGTGAGCCTGCTGGGCCTCTTCTCTGAGGTGGTGGTGGCAGCAGCGGCAGGGTGGCTGCCGAGAGAGGGTCACCCTGGGCATCTGTCAGAGGGTGGCTGGTTGGAGAGGAGGGCCTCCTGTTTCCTTTGGGACCCTCTGGGCTTGTGTCTCATGCATGCTGGCACCCATGAGGCAAGAACAACTTGCCCTTAGATGGTAACTTTTTCTAATACAATCCTATATTTAAGCCTCAGTTTTCCATTCCTTCAGGCATGCCCTTGATTTATTGCAAATGAAATATGCAAAAAGATACAAAAAGCTGCATGAGGGTATGATAGTGGTGCATTTGAGTAGCCCTGTGTGCACGTAAGATTGTGTATTCCCCTGCATGTCAGTGAAGGGAGCTTGATTGCAAAGTGGTTCCTTGTCTGACTGGAATCACGTGATCCCACAGACAGAGGAAAATACCAGATAGGTCCTAAGGGTAAGAGGGGAACTGGTGCCCACCTCCCCAGCCTTTGCTGTCAGACCCCAGTACTGTCCTCTCCAAGTGCAGTGTTTGTTCCTAGCTCCTTGGTGCTGGCTGCCACGCACTGTGTTATGTTGGAGGCCCCTGGCTACCCTCTCTCAGTGTGTCTCCTCTTTCCATCCTTCCAGGAGGGCTGATCATCAGTGGCACCCGTGATGGTGCAGAGTGGAGGCAGGCTAGGGCTAGACTGCAAAGGGCTTTGAGGCCAACGTCAGGTTACTCTCAGGAGGAAGAAACCCCTGGAGGGTGTTAGGTGGTGAGTCACATGGCCTGGCTGGGGGGAGGGAGAAGCCAGGTTCTGGGGCTCTAAGCCTCAGTAGGTGCAAAGGACAGTGTATTGACTAAGCTGGGTGCTATGACCATAAAATAGTGAGGCTGAAGGAAAACCCTTCTCATTTCTTTAACTAGCCCTGTCCCTCACTGGAGTTGAGAAAAGCACACTGGGCTGGCTCTCCTTCCTCTGGTGCTAACTCCCCTGGGGGGAGCTTCAGTTGATGAAAACACAAATTGTAGAAAATGCTGATTTAACAGAATTATTTTCAGGCAGCTGAGCTATTTACAAAAAAAGCAGAAATAGCAGAAATACAGAGATTAGAGAGGCTAGGAGGGGGTTGACATATAAACATCTGACACAATGTACACTTGGCCTCCTCCATGGATTGTGGAGTGTGGTCTACCTGAGCCTGTGTCCTGAGCAACTGAGGCTGGGGGAGGGGAGCAGAGGGTAAGACAAGCCCTCATGGCACCCTTCGCGGCAATATTGTGGGGACAGGGTCACTGTACACTGGGCAAGGGGCCGGTCAGCGACACCGAGGTGCCGTGGTGGTGAAACATGAAGCCAGCTATGCTGATGTGGAAACGCCATGGTAAGAAATGACCTGTTAACTAGCTTTGTTCATGTTCACCGCAGATGCCAATCCATCAGAATCTCAAGGAGCTGCTGGCCGTCAGAGCAGAGCTGCAGAAGCGGGTAGAGGACCTCCAGCGGGAGGTGGCCACACGTGCCATCTCATCCTCGTCCGAGCGGGGCTCCTCACCTTCCCACTCAGCCACTCCCATTCACACCTCAGTCTGACAGGCAAGGCCAGCCATCTCAGGCCATCCTGCTGCTCCACTGTCTCTTGGTGGCTCAGGAAAGGGACCTGGTACTAGCTGTTATGGCGGTAGCTTGTGATCTTGTCTTTTAGTATTAGGCCCAGAGACCATTTATGTGTTTGGGTGACAGCCCCCACTGTTGGCAAGTGCTTATTGTTTTGTGAACAGCCTGTTACCTTCCTGTCAGTGGTTTCACTAGAGACATCTGTCATGCCCACTGTGTGAAGTGACTTCCTATCATCCAGGCAGCTTGGGAGAAACCAGAGTGAATGGAACGCAGTACTTAAGTCTCATGCCATTTCTTTCCAAGTTACATCTTTCACTGAAAACAAACACCATTCACTTAAAGAACACATTGCCAGCAACATGGTTTCCTTCAGGTTGTTGCCACAATGTGGAAACTGGTTCTTAAATATTTAGGGGAGAAGACAAACCATTGCCATCTATTCTATGGTTCTCTTTGTGCAAGGAGTCCTCATGTTAACAATTACTGTTGTGTACATATACATATAAGGTATTTTTTAAAAAAAGAAACATGCTTTTATTTTCCTATGTCCTTTTTTATGTTTAGTCACCTGAGGAGGTATCAGCATAACTGGACTGTGTGAGAAATTATTTTCCACTAAACCTCATGCTAATTTTGATGTGGTACATTTGAAATGGTTTGAACACGGTTGCTTTGGCAATGTGTCATGTCCTCACCTGACCCTGGTACTGGCCTCCTGAGGCGGCTAGGTGCATCACTGGGGAGGGCGTGCACCTGGATGCTCAGTCCCTGGCTCTTCTGAGGGGAAGCTGTGCCCAGGTGCTGGCCACCTGGCCGTCACTCCTGGGCCGTCGGACCTTGCTTCCCTCACCTCTTTACAGATGCTGGCTGCTTGTGTCAAGCAAGCCTACCTTTCTCCGTTCTATGCCTGTATGAAATAATATCTCATTTTATGCCATGGCTGCCTGTCAATGTTTGAAAGCAACCACTGTACCATGGCTTCGGTTTGGAAAAGCATAGCACGCATTTTCTGCGGTTTTTCCCTTCTCAGAGCCGACCGCAGCCTCTCCTCCCACTTTTGCACCTTCATTTAGCAACTTTGAGCTCTGTGATGCCATAAGTCCTTGCAGGAATTAGTTTACCATCAGCTGGTCCCATCTGCTAGAGCATTAGAGCCCTTAGCTGCTCTGTGTGACACGTGCCACAGTGAATACTGCACGTTTGGGTCCGCACTAGCAGGCCACACCCCTTCCCTTGAGCTGTGTACCCTGCGGCAGCTCACCTGGACCCCACCAGCCTGAGGCTCGCCTTTTGAGCCAGAGGTGGCCTCAGAAGCTCATAAGGCAGTCCTGAGTACACCTGCATCACAGTATTAGCTGGTTGGTTTCAAATTATTGGATTCAATGCAAAGTCCTACGTATTGACCTTATTTGAAAATATATTAAATGTTTTTATGGTCAAATACATAGAGAATAGATTTTTTTGTTTGTTTTTTTACATTTGGAACTTTCTGATTCTTAGAGAAAATGATACCAGAAAAATTTCTTCAATGTAATTTGATAACCTAAAGTCAATTCTCCATTTTTATCATCTGGGGAATTTGTTTCTAAATTGTAGTGCAATTGCTATTAGCTTATATGTTCCCAACATATCTGAAAGTACATAAACTGGATATTTTCATTGATAATTTTTTTTTAAATGAAGACATTTCCCATTTTCTTCCCAGAAGTAGCGTTTAATTCCCCAGCCAACTAGGATTATTAAATGTAGTGTATGCTTTTGACAGAGCCAGAGAAGCGAAGCTGGGAGAACCTGACACCCAGACTGGGCCCTATGAACCCTCACCAGGTGGAGGGGACTCTGCCAGTGGGATCCCTAGAGACTCCCATTCGATTTTAAAGCAGCACAATGGATCATTTTCTGTCATATGTTCCTAGCACAGGACTGTTTCTAAAACAACTTGAAGCATAGTTTTATTATCTAAGCATTTTTTTTTTGCTTTATTAAAGTGTACTAGGATGTGAAACCTGTATGGTTCAGGTTTTTAAAAACTGGTACAGTATTGTATTCATCTCATCTGATACACTGTATTTCAGTCTGTAATTAAAATGTTTGCTCCCTGCTCTTTTTTGTTGTCTCCTTTTTAAGTATTTCAGATTTTTCCCTTGAAGGAAATTAGTAGTAAAATAACATGTATTGAATGTTTGCTATATGCCAAGCAGTTAATATATGTAAAATGCCGTGATTTTCATTTACTAAATTGTAAATGTAATTTATGAGTCTTGAGTGGGCTGAAACGGGCAAGTACTCCAATTTTAAAATTGGAAATACCTGTGTTCTGTAACCTTCAGAAAATTTCAAAGACATGGAAAAGGTCTGGAGCCACCTGGCATGTGCACACGTAGGGCTCTGAGGCCTAAAATCGCCGTTTCCCCCAATCTTTGGGAGGATTGCTTGCTTTTTCAGGGTGGTAAAGGCCTGGATAAAATTGTACCAGCCCCTGCATGTCACCCCTCTCATAGGGAGACCTGGGGGTCCCTGTCCCTCTCCGGTCACATCACTGCTGTGGTATTTGGCACAAAGGATCCCCAGCAGTGAGGCCAGAGCAGCCAGGCCCCCACTGGCTCTCCAGATCTTCTGCAAAGGAGAATCATGTGGTAGCCTTGGGTTTAACAACTTTGTATATTTTTGCTATAAGCCTAGTTTAGCCAAAAGCAAAATTAAAAAAAACCACCAACCAACCTTAGGGTCCACTGTATCTTGTTCACACTGGAACACCCAGCTGTCTTCTCAGTTTGCAAGCCAAACTGTGAGCTAATGACAAGGACACACTTTATCCCAAACAGGCCACTCTCCATGGGGTTGCAACAAGCACTGGGGTGCAGGGCCCCCTTCCTCGCTCCGCTCTCTGGTGGAGCAACTGTACATAACCAGAACCTGCTGTGGTTACTGTCTAGCTCTGAAGGAGGTGGAGTCATAGACTTGGGATGTGTAAGCCTGGGGCTCCAGGCTCAGCAATGGGGGACCACCCCTGGAAGCCCCCCTACCCCCGACACTGAGCTGCTCGACACTGAGCTGCTCACCGAGTGGTGAATGCAAGAATTCTCACCTAGAGATGTGGGGAATGAGAACAACTCCACATCACAGATTGATTTAGGAAGAAATGGCATCACTTGACAAAGTGCCTTCATACTATCAGAATGCAAGGATTGGTTAGGTGCCATTTTGTTTAATGCAAACACTAGACAGTTCACAATTCACACCTGAACACAAGCACATAAACATATGTATAGGGGATTCTGAGATCAGTCTCCATTCCTTCCTTAGAGCACTGGTGAGCCTCCCTTAGGTCCCCCCAGGGGTGCCCCACCTCCCTGCCCCTCAGCTTTGTTTCCTTGGGCTGTGACTTCATCAGCACATGCTCAGAGTTGTTAGTTTTCTCTGCCAAATTAGCTATTTTGAAGTGGCCCATCTAGTCCACTATCCCCCAATCCCCATCACCTGGGACAGGCCCAAGCTGGTCCATGCAACCTTCAGATAATCATAAGAGACCACCTAGGCTTCTGCAGACCACCGCTCAGAGCAGGCATAAAATGCCTGTGGGAAGGTGACGTCCGTGGGATGAGCACTCTGCAAACAGGAGGCTGAGGGGTCCACTGGGCATGTCCAGTCACCACAGGCTGCCGCCTGCAGGCCTGGGAGCAAGCAATGGGCTTTATGCAGAAGGTACCTAGCTAGGGGACAGCAAAACAGGTCTCTCGTTTGAATGCAGTGCTACTGAGAACATGGTTTTCACAGAATGTTTATGTCACAGCTATAGGGTTTCAAGGTCTTTGCCATCAGATAGGTCTCACCGTAAAGTAAGGTGGAAACCCCCCTGACTGAGGTCACACCATCTAGGTAGCAGTAAGCTATGGGTGCAAAAATCCTCCATAGCTACCTCCAGCCCAGCACTGGCCAGGGGGCAAGGCGAAGGGCCTTTGTGTCAGGGAGGGACAAACCTGACCAAATAGACAATCTGAGCAATGAGGATGGGAAGCCCTAGAAATAGACCAATCTTGCACGCAATGCCTGCCTTGCTAATTGCTTTGCTGAAGCACAGTGAGCTTCTCCAGGCCAGTTTCCTTCCTTCATGGCTTTGCCCCAATGCCCTGAGCCCCCTTTCAGCCACACGGTCCTGGGCTGCTCGGGCTCAAAGGGCTGAGCAGGAGGGGTGGTGCTTCGGGGCCCACAGGCACACACTGGGGTGGCCCGGAGAGGTGGCCTTGTGCAGTGCTGCAACTGACCACCCGCCTGCTACGGGAAAGTTTCTAAAACAAACATATGAGGCATGCATCATAGCATGTGGGGGCTGCGGATTCCAGTGGTTTCCTTAAAAAGCCTGTGGAACGTGTGGAGCCGTTGTCCAGGCCAAAGAGGCCTGAGAGTTTTGTAAATAGGATCCTGCCTGCCCAGTGACTCATTCTGCTTCCAGAAGTGCTTTGTGACACGGCAAACAGATTGACAGTAGACCCTAGCTCAGCTTCCCACAGCAGAGCTCACTGGGCCAGAGCCACATAGGGTCCAAAGGAACATTCCTGGGAGCCGCTCTTCATCAGAACAAGCGATGGCAGGCTGATCGCAGAGCTAGAAAGTCAGGTGTCTCTCACCATACTAAGTAGCATCTCTCCCCTTCCCTCCCCACCCCTAATATCTTTTTAAGCAAATCAGCATGCTTCTGGCTTTGATGCTTATTCCCTATGTCTAGCTCTTGCTACCAAAGTAAGATCATAGACAGGTGGAGGGTGAGCACCTGCCCCTGCCCAGTCTAAAACATTCCCAACGTAGCAATGATTCCTAAAGAGTAAACATGTTAGCCCTAAGACCACACCCCATCCCCTAGGGAATCATCTAGGAATTAGGCCTGGAAGTTGCAGCTTGCTACTTATCCAGAAGATTCCTAAATTCTCAGGGCAGGACTTTCTCGTGAGATGCACGTTTGCACTTAAACAACTGAACAGCCTCCACTTGGAGCAGGAACATAAAACCTGGGATAGGAGAGAAAGACCAAAATGAAAATGCCGCCCTCGGTGCCTCGTGCGTGTGCTGGTACTTGGTGCTGGCTGTTCACTCCTCACGGGGGCTCCGGGTACTGGCTGGGCCTCCTGAATGGCAGCTCCTCGAGGTCTCTGCTGGGGGCTGCCTAGTGGCAGAAACCCGCCAGAGTGAGCCACTCCAGCGTGCAGGGGGATCGCAGTATCCTAGGTTTAGACTCTTGTCCCGAGCATGAGTCCTCCTCTGTAGTCATCCCCAGCATCCTCTTCTCCCATCATGCCTCTTCCGACCCGTGCTCGGTCAGGCTAGGGGCAGGCTGGCTTGGGGGAGTCGGTGACCCAGTCGCTGCCACGGCCGGCTCTCGGCCAGAGCCAGCTCTTGAATTTCAGCACCAAGGTCTCTCAGAGCCCCTGTGGCAGAGTGGACACCCCACCCTCGATGGCAGGACACAAAAACCAAACTTATGAGCACCTAAAGCTCATCCGGAAAGCTTAGAACAAGGAGTCAATGACATTGAAAGAGCAGCGTAGCAGCTGTGCGGCCAAACGAAAGAGCCAGGTCACAAGCAGTGGCACCTGCTGCTGAACGGGGTCCTCAGATCCGGGCCGGCTCAGATGGTGGCTCTGCAGACTGTGTGTGCAGTGTTGAGTATTTCACTGGGGAGACAAGAGGCTGGTTAGAAGGATTCAGCTCTGTCCTGCACATGAGCAGCAGATACACAAGCAAGCAACGGCTGGGAACAGAGTTGCTTTCCCTTCCATCCTGTCCAGGAGCTAGGGCAGCTCAGCCCATCCCCAGGCAGCCCTCCCCCTGGGGGGGGTCCACCCCCCTTCCCTGTCAGGACTACCCTGAGCCTGGTGGGTCGGGGGAGAGGAAGAAGCTGGACAGACCTTATGAGCAGCTCAGCCTCCATTTCCTCATCTGCAAAATGGGAATGCTCCCGATGGCTGCTGGAGGGATTATTCTAAATAAACCGGTCAACACAGTGTCTGGCTCATATATAGGTGCTCACTCAATAGCAGCTAAAAGTGGTAAAAATTATGATAGCGAATGCTACTGTAGAATCCATTTCCACGTTGGATTCCAGGGCTGTCTCAGTCCGTTCAGTGCAGCACTGCCAGACATCCCTCTCAGGCAGAGGCTGGGCAATCTCATCCCCCACAATATGGGCCAGGCCCCACCTGGTCTCCCAAATCCCATCCCCACGGCCACTGCCCTGCAGTTCTAGTCAACACATACACCCAGGCCCTCCTAGTCTCCTCACCCATGCCACCCTGGCCTCAGCTGACAAAAAGCCAGCCACTCCACCTCGGCAAGACTTTCTGGACCTCCTCCCTGTCATTCTAGGGCCACAGGTCATGTCTGTCACTTCAGGCTGGCAGCCTCACCTTATGTAACCTCAAATCACTCAGAGTTCCTGAACTCAGAAAATGCTCAATGACCACAGAAGGGGGAGGCAGTCAGGGCCGTGGATTTCGATAACAGGGTCTGGGCCTTAACCACACTCCCTTTACCTCCAGCAATTTGGAAATTCAAAGCTTGCAGGTCTAAGTTAAAAGCCTTCCCTGGCTCTGTCCGTATCTGTCCAGGATGCGTCTGTTTCCACTGCCAGGGGCAGAGGTGCCCTGGCTCCAGCTCAGATGAATCAAGAGCAGAGGCTGAGCAGCAACTTTGCCCATAAGTCATCGACGTGGCACCAGATGTCCCTGGCTGTCACCCCAGCATCCCAGTCTCATGAAGCTGGAAGACAAGCTGATCCAGGCAGAGTGCAGGGACACCTGTGCCTTCTAGCCTTCTGCTCTGGCTGACCATTCTAGAAGCAGACACTTCTATGTTTCCCCAGCATAGTTCTGGTCAGTGCTAGGGCCACCAACTAAGAGACCTTCAGGGAAGGAGAGTGATCAAGAAATCCTCACCTTGGGGCTCCTCACACACAATGGCTTCCAGGTTCTCTCCCTTCACGTAGTCTGCATTGAGACCCTCTGCAAAGGGCAAAGAGCAGAGTTAATGATGGGCACAGAATGAAGGGTCCCCAACTGTGATCAAGAATTCCTGATCAAGTCCTTTAGTACAGTTAAAAGAAAAAAAAAAAAGCAAAGCACAGGTCCGTAGTGAACTCAGAGCCCCGCGCATCCCTATCTGGATGAAGGGTGGCCGTGGCCGTCTGGGAACACACTGCCCAGGAGTTATCATCGTGCTCAGAAATAACAACATGTGCCAAAGGCCCCTGTATCCCATCCCTGTAGGGCAGCTGCCACATCAACATGGCAGCTCCGCCCAGCAGCATCCAATAGCTCGGCACCATCCACAGGTCCTCATGTGGCCCAGGAGCCAGGGAGGGGGCTGAATGGCACAGGAGAGACTGTTGTATTCAGGGCAGGAAGAGGATAGGTGGCTGAGGGGGGTCACTGGGGAGATGCCAGCAATCTATGCCCTTTCCTGGCAACACCCGCGTACAGAAGCCAACTGGCTTCTCCTGGTGGCAAGAATGACTGCTGTCTCCACCCAGGCTTGGAGGGCCCAGAGCTCACTTACAGCCACTCTGGTCTGATGTGTTACCTGGGCTTTTCCCACAGCTATTTCCAAGGGGGATCCTTGATGCCAGCAAGAGTCACTGTTCAAGGACCTGAAGTGGACCCCATCCCTGCTGCTGCTTGGGGAGGGTCACGAGTCCACACCTTATCCCTGGATAGCCCAGGGATTGGGGACCTCTAGCTCTGCTGGGGGACAACTGGGCCACGGTTCCAAGCAACTGACTGACTCGGCACTAGCACAAGTCACTCTGCCATCCTGGGCTGCAGGCTCATGGCCTAGACAAGTATGCCTGCTACCTGCCTGTCCTGGTGGCTGCTGGGCTCAAGGTGGAAGCCAGATGGGCACATGAAAAATGGAGGTGTTGCTCTCTGGCAGGTATGGCCAGCCCCCATGTGGAGCGAGGCAGGCGATGGACCCAGGGGAGGCTGCCCTGGGTGCACCCTCCCAGCTGATAGGCAGGGCATGGAGACACACCCTGGGCCTCCCAATCCTGCCCAACCACCGACCTGGTGTGAGCTGGGTTGTCTCCTTCTTGCAGGCAGTCCCCCCCCCCACAGGACCTCATCCCGTACACATCCCTGACCCCAGGTGCACCCAGACTGGGGACAGAGGGTCTGGCAGGTGGCATCCTCACATGCGCACCAGGGAAAGCTAGAGATGACTGTAGTCACAGCCAAGTCAGTAGGTGCCAGGGAAGGGTGAAGGGGGTGAGAAGAGCGGGAAGACCGGTGGATGAAGGGTGTCAAGGCCAAAGCGAAAGGGAATAAGTCAAAGCAGTCATTACCTTGACGTTCTGCTGCATCTGAAGGCAAGACACAAAGCTTAGAACCCTAGAGTAAGAACTCAGCCCCCAGCAGCAAACCACACACGCTTTCCGTGAGACGCACTGACTTCTGGCACTGAGATCAGAAGCAAGGGAAGCTGAGGGTCCCCAAAGCATGGGCCCCTTTGTTGACAGCAAAGGCCAAGAGCACCTGGGGGCTGCAGTGGTGGGGCCAGACCCTCCTAGCGCCCACCTGCCAACTCCCGAGCCTTCGTGCTCTGGCGTCCCTCGTCTCCACGCCACAGCAGCTACACTGACTCTGAGCAGAGTCTCAGCAGGAAGGGTGGGGGTGGCAGGTCCCAACCCCAGCTTCTTAGGGGTCAGCCACCCCACAGACATCCACAGGACTCTTCCCGATGCTGACCTGACCTAGGTGCCAGCGATAGATACATCAGTGGGTGAAGTACACATGTCCCTCGTGGAATGGCCCATCCAGAGTGATGGGGGTGATGGAGACTCAAGAAACCAACTGGCCTGATCTAGCCCTGGGGCTCCAGTGAGGTCAGCAGGGGGCGCTGTGGCAGCACCTCCCTCTAGAGTGAAAGGCCTGGGGGCTGGGAGGGGGAAGGATGTGGTTGGAGCCAAAGCATGAAGGGCTTTGAATGCTGAGCTCAGGACCCGGGCCATGTCCTTGAGGGCAGCAGGGAACATGGGACCAAAGCAATTCCTGGGCATTTTTAAATAAGTCCCTCTGGAGAAGAGTGCCAAATAGGGGAGACCGGGATTGGCAAAAGGTCAGTTTCCAGACTAGAGGTGAGAAGAGCTTGGCCCTGGCTAGGCAAGGGCGTGACAGTGGTGATAGGGAGGCATGGCTCATGGCCCAGGATTGGGGAGGACTCAAGAGGACTCCTGGCCTCTATCTTGGGGAAACAGACACACAAGGAAGGGGACATGGGAAGAAAAGTTGAAGGGGAAGGTGGTAAAGTCCAAGGTCAACACACTGGGCGGGCAGGTTCCCATCCAACTCACAGAACATCACACCTGCTCATTTCAGGGAGTAAGTGTGCAAATGTATTTTCCTTTTGCCTTAGTGCCCTCACAGAGACCAACAGATACAATGAAGATATTTTGTGCTTTGGAAACCAACCTATTTTCCTTCCCTCTCTGTTCCTACTGATACCTGAGCAGCCTTAAAGCCAGTCTCTGGCATTTTGTTGGGTCAGACGATTTGTTCCAGAGCAGGAAGGAAGCTGAGATGCCCTTGATGAGAAAACTGACGTCCCAGCAGGGAAGGACCCAGCCCTGCCACCCTATCTGCTCAGCCCAAAACCTGTCCCTCCCCGATCCGCGGCCCTGCCTTTGCCTGGCCGAGGTATAGGGCTGGCTTTTCACCCATATGCAGAAGGGAGGCAACGCCGGATGCCTGGGAAGCAGTTCTCACCAGGAACTGTGAACCCAGCTTTAAACCGTTTCTCTTCTCCAGCACGCTTTGTAAAGTCTCATAAAGCCGCCCCTTGGCATAGGAACCACCTTGCCCCACTTTATAATCTGCATGTATTTGGCAACTGTGGCCTGGTCGCATCTTACTGTTAGGGCAATGATGCTCTAATTAGATGAATGGTATGTGCCCTCCTCCCCCGGAAAGATCTGTCCCTGTCCTCATCTCTGGAACCTGTGAATGTGACCTTTTTTTTATATAGGAACAGGGTCTCTACAGATGTAATTAAGGATCTCAAGAGAAGATCATGCTGGATTTAGGACATAAGCAGAGGGTGCAGTGACGCAGCCACACCTGAGCCCCCTGGAGCTGGAAGAGACAAGGAGTCCCCTAGGGCCTGCAGGAGTGTGGCCATGCTGACACCTTGACTTCAGACTTCTGGCCTCCAGAACTTGGAAAGAATCAATTTCTGTTGTTTTAAGCCACTCAGTTTGTGGTTTTGTTCCAGTAGCCCCAGGAAACTGGTACACGTGTCTGAGACAAAAGTCACTGCTGTCTAAAGTGTTCATAACTCCTCTGTTGCTAGAAGGCAAGCCCCCGCCTTCCCCAGCCACCCAGGAGGGAAAATAATCTGAAAATAAGGCAAGAATGTATCTGATGTGCTGCTTCTAGCCAAATAAGCCCTCCAACCAGCCACCAGGATCCCCCACGACTTTGTGGCCTGTATTTTGGGAACATCACTGGGTATGGGATTTTTTTGAAATAGTTATTTGCTAAATGACATTTCAGCTACCAACTCGTTTAATCAATCGTACAGACAATATATTGTTCTCTTAGTAATTTCCAACTTTGCCCTATAGCCCTGGTTTAATCCCAACCTGGCCTTTTCCCAAAACCACCACCTTGGGAACCTGGATGCTACCCCAAAACCTTGACCCCTCTCCTGCCAGTAGGGAGCCAGATGAGTCGTCCTTCCAAAGCATCCCAGGCCAGGTCCTCACTTCCTTCCCTTAAACAGGGAAAGGATACCAGTTTCAAATGACAATCCCTGGCCACAGAGAAGCCACATGTAGGGAGCTGTGTCCCAGAATTCCCATCTCCTTCCGATCCACCTGCCAGAGGGGGCGCCCTCAGAGATCCATGGGGCTTCCTCGGACAGAAACCCCCACGTCAGATCTCTTCTACTTTTTCTTTCCAAATGTAACAAGTCAGAGATCAAGGCCTGTGACTCTGTGCCTGGTTGCCTTGGGACTCCTTGCTCCAGTCACAGCGCAGGAGGATGATGCATAACTGCCCCCTGCCACACCAAGCACACCTTGGCCCCTTGCCCAATGTGGCCCAAAGTCTGCCCTCCAACTATCAGCATCCCAGCCATCAGGAGGTGGGACTCCCATCATTTTCACCAGTCTGAGATCCCTTTGCTTTTGAGTTGGGGGAAGGGGTAGCTCTAAGAACAATCCAGCCCCCAGCCCTGTGCTCCTTCTGCCCCTCTTCCTGTTCACACCACTCTACGGCCAAGCTTCTGGATCCATGTGGGGTCGATGGGATCTGAAGCAGGGCAACCATGAACAGTTGTGCAGGTTATACACTGACATGTGAATGCCCCTGGAGTAGTGTTGTGCACAGTATGTGCAGCTGTATGTGGTGACCTTAGTCAAGAATGTTCTACGAGAGCAAAAGCAGCAAACAGGATGACCAGATTAAGAAATGGTTGGGGACTTCAGAAACACCCACACTCAAGGCATCCTGGAACCCAGATTCGTTTCCTGGGAAGCTCAGCTCCAGGCAGGAATTAACCACTTCGGTACCATGCTCACCGGCTGTGAAACCTTGCCCACAGCCGGTACTCATAGTCCCCATGATAGTTTGTGCTGTGCATTGATGACGAATCCGTTTTGCTCTTGTGTGATGAGGAAAGCTTTAAAGCACTGAAAGCTTGTTTTACTTTACAGACAGCTTTACTTGTAATGTAAATCAGAATAGGTAACATATACATATATGTTTTCATTACGTTATGTTTAAATGTTCACAATTTTATTTTGATAAATGAAAAATTAGAAAAGTCATATCACGGCTGTCAGCTAAAGTCGCTGTGCGTGTTCATCTGTGGCTGTCGACTACAGTCGATGCTGGTACCAAAGTGGTTAAAGGCAGAGGCCCACAAGCAAGGGTAGGGGAGGATTCCTGGGGATGTTCATAAGCTTCCCATCACATCAAAGGGGCTGAGGAAAGAGAAAAACTATGGCTGAGCCACATTCTGCCACTGGAACTAAAAATCACCAGCCTTGAAAGAGTGACACGCTCCACTCAGCAAACAGCAATGTGTCAATGCTATACTCATGAAACTGACAAGTATGGTTCTCCCATTCACCATCAACAGTATCATCATGGAGATCCCTGACACAGGCCACCATTTGTAACTGTGCAACTTACCCATGATTTCCAGACTCCCAGCCACAGCAGAAGATGAAAGCAACCTGTCTTAAAAATCTAGTGTGAACAGGGTTGGGGCAAAACCACACCCTATTCCTTCTCTTCCATTCCTACTTCTTCAGAACAATACATGATTCCATATATTTTTAAATTTCTGGCTTGTGGGGGAGGAGCGAGCCACCAGGCAGCGACTCCTCAGGATGTGAAAGGGGTGCTGTCAGAACAATGACAGCATGTCTTACAGACCCTGGAGCACCGCTGCCTTCTGCTCCTGAGAAACCAGCATCTCGACAGGGAGTTGTTGACCCAGGGTTCTGGAGTCCCCACATCCCCTTGGGTGAGATCCAAGGCCATGGGTATAGCCCAGGGTCCCTCCTATTCTACAGTCACAACTGTCACTAAGCTCTGTCCCCACAGAAATACAGCTTCTGGGAACTGGGGTCCTTGGAAGGTTGAGGTCACCAAGTCCAGCCCCATCCATACCTCCAGGCTGGTTTACACTCAGTTCAGTCTAGATCTGTCCCTAAGGATTTCCAAAAGTGTGGCCCCCAACCCCTACCCTGGGCAGGCTGTGAAAGGGAATCCCCGTTCCTTTCCCCCAGGAGACTGGTTCCCAGCCGGGAGCAGCCACACTTACGCTGGATGCTGAAGCAGAACTTCTTCTGCTGGTAGGAGATGTAGCTGGAGACAGCACCAATGAGGGCCATGGCCAGGGCGCTGGCCACCCCGGCAATGGTGCCGGTCTCTGCCACTGTACCTGTGAGAATGAGAAGGGGCAGAAACGAGGAGAGGTGGGGTCAGCTCAGGAACCTGCTCATCCTCTAGCCCTGAGCTGTGAGGCACAGCACCACGCCACACACCCCCAAGGCTTTATGACAACACAGAGACCCTGCATTTGCCAGGGCTTCTTGTTTTCCATGAGGACTTTCTTTCTGAGGCCCAGACAGGTGTCTGGTCTCACACCAGCAGGCTCCCCCTTTAGGCCACCAACCCCGGGGATCCCCATCTTCACATGCTTAATTCCTTTAAGTGACCATGCCCCTTCGCCCTTTGCCTCATGATTCTCCATCGGAAACATTCCGGGGAAGGCCAACCCTGAGGCCAGAGCTGGCCAGCAAAAACCTCAGGACCCAAACGCACCAGATCCAGGGTTGTCATTGCTGCCATACCCGCCATCACCTAGAGAAAAGACAAAGCACTTAGTGTCTTCTGTGACCCTGCGACCAGCCGGCTGCTCAGGGCCAGGCCCTTTGCTCCCACCTCTGCCATAGGCACCCACCAGAACATGGCCTGTGGGTTTCTACCAGACTATGACAAGACCTTATTCCTTATGCCTGCTGCCTGCAAAGCCCCTGCTTCCAAGGGCAACTTTTCGTTATTAAAATGGTGGCCACCAAGCATGGTTACATTCCTAGCTTCTGGGCACAGCGCTTCTTCTTCATGCAGAGAAGGAGCAGAGGCTGGCAGTATGGGGCCACAGCAGGTGACAGAGGGGGTCCTGCCAGGAGAGCCTGACTTGGAACACCACCACCATGTGTCTCCAGTATTTAGTGCCTTAACCATAGTTGGAGTTATTCTCAGAACATAAATGTAGGCTCACAGTCTCTTATCTGCTATTTTGAAATTTAAAAGGCTCTAAAATGTCACAGAGGTTAATAACAGATTGATGTTGACAAGGGCTGGTGGGAACAGGGAGGGAGTTGGTAGTGGTCATAAACAGGCAACAGGAAGGATCCTTGTGGCGAAAGAACTGTTATCTGGACTGTGGTGGTCACACGTATCTAGAGGTGATGGAACTGCATGGAGCTGCATGTACAGACACACGCCTTCCCCAGACCGAGACTCCCTGACAAGCATTTGGTGCCATTTCAGGCCCTTAATTATGCTTGAGTTCACCCTTCATGCCACCCTCTTCTTCTCAGGGCCTAACACTCATGGATGGAGGGAAACTGCCCTGGGATGTCGGAGACGACAAGCCAACGTTTCCTTGACCAAAGAGTTCTGAGGGATGTGGGTTCATGGACTGTAAAAATGCACCACTGGTAGGAAGTGGGGGTGTGCTGGTAACAGGGCTGTATGTGAAGTTTTCCTACCTTCCTCTCAATTTTTCAGTGTGCCTAAAACTTCTCTAAAAAACAAAGTCTATTTTTTAAAAATATTCTAGGGTAAAATGAAGTTTGTTATGTTCCCACGTAGGACTAAATCTTAGAGTTTCATACACTTCACAAAGGTCCCTGATTGGCTATGCATGGCTATATGGAAAACAAGGAGTGGCAGGCATTAAAAACACACAGTCACTGCTGCTGAAGAAGGCAGAGCAGAAAGGACGAGAGCCACTGTGTATGTTAACATATTGGCAGCGACGAGAATGTCACCTGAGAGAGCTTAGAGTCTAACAGTGCTGGCTTGTCAATGGTCCCCTCTGCTGTGCTGTTCATCTCGCTCGATTTCCAGGTTTGGACTATTTGTCATTCAACCTGTTATTTTACCTGAAGGTAGAATGAAGCTGAGTGTTCCCAAGTCTCTTTTCCCTTATTGATACTTGGCTACAAGTATCCCTAGCAACTTGAACATCATAATCCGCAGGACTGCTGAGCCAGAGCCTATGACATGGCACATAAACAGGACAGCCCCTTTCTACTCTCCCCCCAGGGGCACACAGAGACAAAGGCTGGCACTGCTCTCCCACGCTGTCAACAAGACTCAGAAGCTCAATATTTCACATCTCTAGTGGTTCCTGACTACCTGACCATCTGTGATTGCAGGAGTTATTGTCCTAAGATGACAAAAAACGTGATTCTCCTCCTAAAAAACAACAAGGCCATCAAGTCATTGCTGGGATGGCCATGTGAGCTGAAAAACTGTGAGGCTGAAAATAATTGGAAAAGAAAAGGCCAGTCATCCTAGGTCCTTCTGTCCCTTCTCACTGCATGACCCAAGCTGAAGTTGGCCACGTGGACCTGCCACTAGAGTTAGCCAAGCAAAGGTCATGGCTTTGAGTACTACTGCTTAGCTACTGAGCTCTGCTCACTTCCTCTGAGCACAAGCTGAACCCAGTTCCTTCACAAAATGCATGCTGCACAAAAGATGATATTGCAACAAGGGACAGATCAGTGGCATAAAATAAAGTCGTCCAACCCAATACCACCCATGAAACTAAGTTCCCAATAAAAGTAAAATGGATGAAGCCATAAAGCACTATGAGAAAATTTAGGGGTAAGGAATTTATATTATCTTGGGCTAAGAAATAACTTTCTAAATATAATCCTATGGCCGGGCGCGGTGGCTCAAGCCTGTAATCCTAGCACTCTGGGAGGCCGAGGCGGGCAGATTGCTCGAGGTCAGGAGTTCGAAACCAGCCTGAGCAAGAGCAAGACCCCGTCTCTACTATAAATAGAAACAAATTAATTGGCCAACTAATATATATATATAAAATTAGCCGGGCATGGTGGCGCATGCCTGTAGTCCCAGCTACTCGGGAGGCTGAGGCAGAAGGATTGCTTGAGCCCAGGAGTTTGAGGTTGCTGTGAGCTAGGCTGATGCCACGGCACTCACTCTAGCCTGGGCAACAAGCGAGACTCTGTCTCAAAAATAAATAAATAAATAAATAAATAAATAAATAAATAAATAAAATAAAATAAAATAAAATAAAATAAAATAAAATAAAATAAAAAAAATCCTAAAGCTAGAAACCCAAACTGGAAAACACATATTGAAAGTAAAAATTTTAGTACTAAAAGCACAAGCAACAACAACAACAAAAATAAATCAGACTTTGTCAAAATTAAGAACTGTTTTGCTTCAAAGGCCATCATCACGAAAGTGGAATGAGAAGCCACAGAATGGGAGAAAAAAATTGCAAATTATGTATCTGCTAGAGGACTAGTATTGAGAGAAGAAGAGAGGAAAAGTGGAAGAGGGGAGGGAAGGAAGAAGTGTCGGGAGGCCGTGGAGAAACGGGGACCCTATGTTGCCAGCGGGAACAGAAACTGCTGCAGCGGCTGTGGAAAAAGGTTTAGTGGCTCCTCAGAAAGTCAGAGGTAACCATGACCTAACAATTCGACTTGTAGATATGCGCTCATGACAACTGAAAAGCTATGTCCACATAAGAACTTGTACACACATAAAAGGCACAAAGTGCGACCTCAGAGGTCCATCAATTGATGGATAGATAAATGTTTATATAATATATAATGGCTTCCTAATCTCTAATGTAAAAGGAGCCCTTACAAATCAATGAGAAATAATACAGACCCCAGTAAAAACAAACAAACAAAAAACAAACAAGCAAAGGATATGAACAGGCAAGTCACAAAATATATTAAGAGTATAATGAGACATCAAAAAAGTATTTCACTTCTTTTGGATTCAAACAAATAAAAATTTACACAGCATGGCATATTGCTCTCATCAAATTTGCAAAGATGACAAAAATATAATACCCAGTGGAGATGAGGATTTGAGAAAATAGGCACCTGTTCACTTACTAGTAGGGAACATGGAGGTTGGTACAGTCATAATGGCAGCACCACTAAAAGAGTCACATCTTTAAAAATGTCAACCGTCTGTGATCCAGCCATGACTTCTAGGAATTTATCTGACAAAAACAATTAAGATTGTGCATTCTTGGCTATGACAACATTCACCACAGCACTGTATACAGTAGCAAAAAGCTGGGGGAAACCATAAAAACTAGGGCCCTATTTAAATTATGGCATACCATAATATCATGTAGTCAGTGACATGATATTTTACTAATAGAATACTCTTTAATGACAGAACAATATTCAGAACATTATTGATTAAAAAACTGGTTTTAGGATAGCATGAGCCCATTTTTATTAAAAAAGACAGATATTTATAAATGTATACTTATACACAGAAAAAGTACTCCAAGCACAGTCTAAACTATTACTGATGATTCTTCCTAGATAGTGAAACAACAAACAATATTTTTCATATACTTTTTTAAAAGTCTTAAATATGCAAGTCCCATGCACATCTATCTCCCACAACTGTAGAGCTTTCTCTGGAGCTTAAACTATCTCACAGGTCACTGGCACGGTCTTCATTTTCTATAACACCGTGTTTTGTATTCCCACTGGCCTTGGGGGTTCACAATTATATACCAAAGGAACCCCCCATGCAGTGCATCCCATGCTGCAATTTGCTTTGAGTACAGACAGCTATGTAGACTTTGATAGCCCTAGCGACTGGCACTGTAGCAATAGTGACCACTGCCATAGTAGGTCCTGTAACTACAAGGACCCTGTAGCTATAGCAGCTACCATCGCTATCAGGACTGTTCTAGCTAAAGTGACCACCACAGCCATAGAAACCTTGTAGAAAAGGAGGCATTACCTCACTGAGGAAGTGCTGAATAGGCGCTGTGGCCAACAGCAGATCAGACCCGCAGTACTTCAAATACAGAAGGAAACAGCTCACAAATACACAACAGGCTCATGTCCTACACAGCCACCACCTGGGGGAGGCTCTTCCCTGACAGCAGCACAATCCAGGCTCCCAGTGAACACCTGACACACTTGGTCACCGAGGGCACAGAGAGTCACGTGACAGTAGGAAGATTATACCTAGAACTGCTAGGGGGAGAAACTGAAGCACATAAGGACATTTGTAAGTGTTCTAGACTTCCAATAGATATAGTCAGGACTTTTAGATATTTTAAAAATGTATTTTCATCATGTTAGTGGCAGAAGTGCAAGATAAAAATAATTTTTTCAAAAAATAAATTAAGGAAAAACCTTGCTTCAAATGACCTAATAGTTACCAAATCAAACCAAACTGAAAACATCTGTCAAAGCACAGCTGCCTAGGCTAGCCACTGGGGATGGCACTCCTCACTATTCCAGAAAGTCTTCAAGGCCCAGATCCCACCCATTCCCCACTGCAGGGATGAGAACACCCACCGTTTAGATAACATGATGGGTGCCCTGCTCCAATCTGACACAGATCCCTAAAACTCCCACTCTCATGTGTCAAGCTCTGAAGAGTCCAGCTAGGAGGTCATCTCAGAGAAAACCCGTCCATGCTGCGCCCCCTGGTGCACCTGAGCGTGGGGAGTCCAAAGGAGCAAGGTATAGTACACCAGAACCAGGGATCTGTTCCTCACATCTGAAACATCCTATTTCTCACGGGTTCTGAAAGCTGACAAGAATAGA